TGAATCTCATGTTAGCTCTTTGGCATCAAATGACACGCTCCTTTTGTCATCTCCCGAGTCCAATACAACCCGTAAAGAGCAGTGGCCAAGAAAGTTCCCCCTTAGACAATTTTCTTACGACACAGAAGTCCAGTTGGCAAGGGGAAATTTGGCATACCAGGCAAATAATATAGTGTTAACCCTTAACACTAAGCCAAAATCTGACATTTTGAATGTTCTTACTGAGGACATTTACAAGTACACCCCATACCCGACGGACGCTCAATTCAGTGAAGTGGCAAGAGCACTGATCGAAAAACGCCAGCACTGATCGAAAAACGCACGTGTGGCCAGCTGAAAAAGTTCACTGCTCATTTCCTGCTTTTGCCGCATTCATTGAGTCTCACAATTGACTTTGCATTGAAACTGGATGCAAAGCATGATCCAGTGTGAACGTAGCTTTAGTCAATCTTTCTCATCCACAAATGAAAAATGGCTTGAAACTGTGCAAAACTTTTTTTTCTTTATTTGGTCTTACCTGGTAAATTAATTCCTGCAGGAATCTAGGACAGGATGTCAGACCAGTGGGGGCGGGTCCCGGCTCAAAAGTGGCCAAAATTTTGAGCCGGGATTAGCCAATGCTATATGTTAGCATTGGCTAATTCTTATTCCGGGTCCACCCCCATCGGCCTCTGAAACGTCTTTACAGGATGGTCCAAAAGTTGTCTCTTGGCCCAAAGCTCCGTTCCACATGTGTGTCAATGCTGAGGGGGGTGGATGTATTTTTTTTTTTTTTGGACCACTCTAGTTTACTCGCTGTGAATTATTGAAGTCTCACGTTCAAATTAATGGACATTGCGCCGGCTGACGCATGCGCAGATGCGGTTTTTTTCACAATTTTCTTTTGGGCGTGACCACTCGCGGCCATTTTGGATAGCCCCAGAAGAGCACAAGTTTTGGCCCATTAGTTTTAACGGCGGAGATAGGTGTGACTACGTCCATTATTTTTTAGTCTGTGTCAGACCCGATAGTCTTCAACACAATGACATTCATGGTTTTTGCTGGGATTTTAGTTTTTTAAGCTTTCACACTTGAACACAATTGCATAATGTGAGATGTTTCGCCATCATAATTTACCTCTTCAAATGTTCATCTTATTGTCAATTGCTGCTTGATATTCATTTCTATATCTATACTTCAGGCTGAAGACATCAATCTGAAGCGAGAATGTCTCCTGAAGGCCCTTGTCATTGCCCTTGGGGAGGATACTGGGGATATAATCAAGGAGTTTGTGGTAGGTAACATATTTTTCCTTACAGCCTGCCTCTTTACATTTGATGTAACTGGAAATTAATTTGAATTGTGCTCTGTAAATAAATTTGTCTTGCCTTTGCCACAGAATTGTTTATGGTCTATAGAATTAGTTAAAATTAATAAATCAGTTTTTACATACGGAGCTATGTTCTTACTAGTGATGGGCAGATGAAGCTCTAACACACCAAGGCTTTCTTTGCCAGATTTTTAAAAAATGTGTCAAAGCCTCTGAGCTCAGACTAGCTTGTAACACTGGCATCTAGTGGATAAATATAATCATTGCAATTCCTTAATTGAGTGCACATTTTAATTCATATAGTCAAAGTCATTTCACTATGAAACATAAACAGCAGATAACATTAACAAGAAATTGTCTTAAATTTACGGGATGTCGTCAACTTTCAAGTTTTAAGTTGACAACATCCCAAACCATGGATCTCGGTTTCCCACTTGGAGATGCCATTGAAGTCTCAAATCACAAACGCTGTACAACAGCTTCAGAATCTGAGACACTGACAAGTTTGTCATGTGACTGGTTGTTTAGATACACGCTTCAACAGTGTTCTAAAGCGGTCTGCTTCAGGATAGCCACACAAGCTCCGGAGCATTGTTTTTTTTTGCCCGTCACTAGTTCTTACCTTATCTTAGACAAGTTTATTACGTGTGCCTCCTGAAACTTAAGCACAGTACATATAGCATTTAATGTCTCCTTGAGCTCCAAACAAGGTGAAAATGGAAGCCACCAAACTTCCATGTTTTCCCTTTTTTAATATAGTCACGTTAAGTGTTGCGCCATAAAACATAATTACACAAAATTAAACCATGTGGATTTTATAAGCGGATAAACCGGGATATTGTAGGCGTAACAATACCAGGAATACTTCGACATCCACTATGCGATGTCTATGTACTCCTGGTATTATGTGATTTTTTTAAGTATCACCCCATTGTAAGCTTTGCAGTAATGTTTTAATTCAAATTGATTGAATACCAATGCATGTCGCATAACTAATAAAACATTTGTTCTGCTCTCTTAAGGAAATTCAGCAAGATGACATTCAGGCCGATTTGGAGCAAGTGACAATGGCAGTGTTTTCCATTCGAGCAGAAGGAAGTGTCGACATTCCTTTGGAAATTGGTATTGTTATTGAAGGTGTGACGTTATTGAACGGACTGAGCTCTGTCGCATCGGCTTGTGCCCTACTGCTCGGTTTGAACTACATTCTAAATCTTGCTTACCCTAAAAACCTCCGTTACACTTTTGAGGCTTTCCAGAAAGTTTTCATGGAGCTGGATCCTCAGAAAATGTCCCCTAAAGTTCACACACTCCTAGGAAAACTGCAAAGTGCAGTTTAATGGTCATCCTACGCCTATGAAAATGTTGTTGGCATTCAGTGTTTTACATTTTTATAAAGTTGACAGTGTTATTAAAAGTTTAAAAAAATAAGTACTTTACTAATCTTCCAGGACACAGGAGAGAAGTCAATTTTAATTTCATTTATCGCAATTTTATTGTTGCATTACAATCTGAACCAAATGAGTAAAGGAAAAGACCGACTTAAAAGGTTCTTTTGATTTGACAAATGTTAAGAAGCTGGTACTGCTTCACTACCACATGTTTCGGCGGTTTACTTCCGCTTTCATCAGAGGTGACACGTGATGATGGGACGCGTCTCTTATCAGCTGTTTCTGTGGTCAACTTCTCCAGAGACTACTACGCGGCGGGTGACTCGCTCAGTCTAACGAATCTGTGGGATCTGTCAGACTGGCCATATCCAGCAACAGCTGATAAGAGACGCGTCCCACCATCACGTGTCACCTCTGATGAAAGCGGAAGTAAACCGCCGAAACATGTGGTAGTGAAGCAGTACCAGCTTCTTTACATTTGTCATATCAAAAGAACCTTTTAAGTCGGTCTTTTCCTTTACTCATTTGGTTCAGATTGTAATGCAACAATAAAATTGCGATAAATGAAATTAAAATTGACTTCTCTCCTGTGTCCTGGAAGATTAGTAAAGTACTTATTTTTTTAAACTTTTAATAACACTGTCAACTTTATAAAAAATACTTTTTATCTTTGAGCAAACGACTGGTTTTCTTTTTGTTGAATGCTTATGAATGAACATCTTTAGCTTTTCTACATCTTTAGTGTATTCAGTGTGTTAAAGGTTTTATAAGACTGTTTTAGAAGTTTTAAAAATAAGCACTTTGTAATCCTCCTGTTTGGACTGGATTGTTTATTGTTGCCACAGGACAGTCTGAACTGAACTGCTACTGTCATGAATGTTGAATTGAAATGTTATGAAAATATTTTGTCTTAAATGTGACTTTTCAAATAAATAATTTGCACCTACGACCTTTATTTTACATCTTCACTTCAAATTTACAAAATGTTAAGCTGTTTAAAGCTGTGGTTCTCAAACTGCACACAAAGTGAGTTGTGTTTTGGTGCTATAGGTCAAAAATAGATTTCCATTTTGACCTTTTTTTCAGACTGGTACTCTGGCTTCTTCAGGTGATATATACTGTTCATGTATATTTTCAATTAACTTATCGTAGCTACAAACATGTATTTTTGGCAGATGAATGTTCAAAAAGAAATGATCCAACATAAGCGTTTGAATAGGATTGAGAATATTTGGAGTGGGAAAGTAGCAACATTTTTAAGTTGGATTTAACTATAAAAATACTATTAAAAAAGTGAAGTTTTACTTAAAAATAAAATGGAATTTTAAGTGTAATTTTCAGAAAAAAATAATTACGTTTTATATATTTTTTTAAGTTGAAAGAAAGTACTATTTTAGGAAACTTGAATGAATATTTAACTTTTATCTGATTAAAAATACAAGTTTGGTTCAATGTAGAATTAAAAGTTGAGAAAACGTAATTTACTAGTTGTTACCAATTGAAACGTTTTTTTAAGTTGGTTCAACTAAATTCTTTTTACAGTGTATGTGCTAGCATGCTAAGACAGCACTCATGGTTTTACACTGAACCATTGCAGAGAAATAGACACAAACCAAGCAATAAATCCATTGGTGGGAAGCCTTCGAGTAAGCAGCTCCTCACCAGGTGCACCACAGGAGATGAGTGAAGAGGGCTCACCGATGTGTGCGTGTGTGTACGTGGCTGTGGGGTGGAGGTGAAGTACCAAACTGTTGTTGTGACACTCAACCCACATGAGTCTGGTGTATGTGAATGGATGATGGTGGTCGGAAGGTCCTAGGGCAGCTTTGGTAACAGTAGAAGTTTATCTCCACCCTGTATGAAGTGAATGAATAATAATACGTGAAGCGTCTCTAAGTGTAAGTAAGTAAGTAAGTAAGCTTTTATTTATATACCGCCTTTTCACTGCACATCGGAGTCTCAAAGCGGTTTACAATTGTTGGGTGGGGGTCGCCAGTACAGGAGGCACATGCCAGACCTATTGTACATATTTTTAGTGGTAGGGGAAACCGGAGCACCCGGAGGAAACCTACGCAGACACGGGGAGAACATGCAAACTCCACTCAGAAAGGCCCTGGTCCGACCGGGATTCGAACCCAGGACCTTCTTGCTGAGAGGCGAGAGTGCTATCCACTCAGCCACCGTGTCCAAAGAAGCACTGTCTAAAACCAATGCATTCATGGTTTTATGTCTCATCTGTCTCAAACGTTTGGAGGACTGGAGTTTATTGTGTTTTTTTCATTCATGTGGCTTCCCCTCAGGTTTCACACCATCCTCCAGTCTCTGCTTTCTACGTCAGCAACAGAAAAGACGGTTTCTGTGTGAGCGGCAGCATCCTCGCTAAGTCCAAGTTTTACGGTAACTCTTACCACACCAGGATGCACGAGTGCTCTGGGAAAGAAACATTACACGCTCATGTCTAGATATATTCAACTGGAACAAGCTTTATGAACTTCCCTGCTGGTCTGTATATTCTGGGTCAGAGCAAGTCCAGTACAAATCTTGTGCAGTTTCAGACCCAGATTATTTAGTCATTTCATAATGTAACCGGTTTGCATTATGAAATGATTCGACAGCTTGAAGAAGCGATTGCACCAAAGGCAAACCAACACAGACCGTATACAGCGGTATGAAAAACTTTGGGCACCACTAAATATTATTGTTGTTTGGATTTGAAATTTTGGTTAAATATATCATATACGAGACAAACACAGTGATATTTGAGAAGAGAAAAAAAGTTTATATAATTTACAGAAAGTTTGCAAGAATTATTTAAACCAAATTAGGCATGTGCACATAAATATAAATACATCCTCCTTAAAGCTGCACTAACTCACTTTGTGAAATGTTCAAATGTGAGCGCTGGCCTCGCTCTTTCTGCTCCCCCTTCCCCCACTCACGGAGCTATCGCCCCCCACTACCCCCTCCCACTCGGCCACACATGTGCTGTTTACGGAGCTCACATCTCACAATATGGATCGCACATTTGAACGTGGATGCCGTGACCATAGAATGATAGAACCCTGAAGCGCGGAGGAACGAGACTTTCTTTTGGATGTTTCTCTGAGTAAGCAGTAACCGGTATCGAAGACACGGAATATTCAGGTTAGACTCCGCCGCTTGTTTACCTCAGCTGTCTGTGCTAACAAGAGACCTGTGGCTTTTCTCAAGAAGGTGGGGGCCAGTGGTCCGCTGTGATCGGTCACAATCTGGTCCTGAAACAAATTCTCTTCCTTGTTGCACGAAAACTCAATATAAAACAAAAGGACACGCCAGCAGAAATCGGCGTTATTTATTCTTCAAAAGGACGTATATCAATGCACTGCATGGATATGGATTGAATTTTTGTAATTGATAAAAAAATAAAGTGAGGTAATGCAGCTTTAATAACAGCCTCTGAAGAGTCCAGATTCAGGTGGAAGGTTCTCTTCTGCAGATCATCTCTAGTTCAGGTTTGATGGGTTCCTGAATAATATTCAGTTCTGGGGATTGAGATGGTAATTCTAGAACGTTGTACTTGTGGTAACGCTTTATATTAAGGTGTGCTTATTAAGTATTAATAAGGTATTAATAGGGGGGCGACAGTAGCTCAGTTGGTAGAGCATCGGCCTTTGGGCCTGGACGTCGTGAGTTCGATTCCCACCATGGGACCTACTGCAACTGCTCCCACTGATGACTGCTGTCGTTGTGTCCTTGGGCAAGACACTTAACCCCACATTGCCTGAAGCCCCCCGCTGAAAGATCAAGGCTGTTTCACAATTGACGGAGCAGCCATCTTCCTGTGGACTCACCCCCTGCAGAGGATCAGAGGGACTGGTGCTATGAGCGTTGGGGGCAGCTCTCATTGCCACCCCCCTGACCCAGAAATGGACAAAGGGGTTGAAAATGAAATGAAATGAAATGAAAGGTATTAATAGGCATTATTAACATGCTTATAATTTGCTTGTATATGCTTATAAAGCTGCTCATTTCATTATTCTCTAAACAATGTTGTTCTAGTTAAATGCTTTTAAGTATTTAATAAGTAATTAGTCAGATAGTTATTACAGGAGGAATATGTTTATAAAGATATGAATAAGCTGCTTATTAAACTATTATCGATACCATGTTGATAGGCCACTAACAAGATGCCTATAAAGATATTAATAACTGCTTATTTCACTAATATCTAATCTCCGGTTCATAGGCCCTAACACTATGCTTGTAAATGTGTTAATAAACTGCTTATTACACTATTTTGCAGAACCCTAATCTAAAGTATGTGTTAATACAGAAAAAAAACACAACCATGATCTAAGATTGTTTTATTTATTCAAACAGCATAAGTATCTTAGTAATTACTTATTAAATTCTAAAAAGAATATAACTAGAACAACATTGTTTAGAGAATATTGAAATGAGCAGCTTATATGTTTATAAGCACATACAAGCAAATTATAAGCATGTTACTAATGCCTATTAATACCTTATTAATACTTAACAAGCACACCTTGATGTAAAGCGTTACCGAGCTATACCCGTTTCTGCAGGTTTGTTTAGCCCCGCCCCCAACTCGCTCACAGGCTTCTCTTCCCTTCACTCCCATCCCACGGAGCCATCTAGTTTTGTTTACGATCTGATACTGTTGTAGAATTAAAATGTTGTCTACTAATGATTTTAAAAACAGGTCCTCTGAAGAATGTGCACTAAGGAAAAGCTCCAAGGACACGAGGATTGCAAACAGGAATAAAGAGGGTCGAATGGAGAACTACAATAATATTAATATAATAAATAATAATATAATAATAATAATAAAGATACCAACCTTCAAACCGGGACGAATTATTAACTCCAGAAATAAACATTCTCGCCTCCCTCTCTGGCGAGATCAAAGTTCAAACCACCATCTGGCTAATCCCTCCCTGGCAGACTGGGGGTTCACCAACGGCGTTCTGACGCCTCCCAGTGGACACGGGACGCCAGCACACCCAAAATGAACATTCGGGAGACGCACAAAGATGACGTCATCGGACATTCTGATAAAACTGGTCTGAGTCTGAATCAGCAGATAGGGTGAGCCATAGGAGAAGAGAGCAGGCATAGTTAGGATAGGAGCTTTTTGAATTTCTGTATCTGATTGTAAAGATAAATTAAATACAGATATTTAACTTGGAAATCTTCGTCTTGTTTTCTGCATCAAACTGTGAAAACGTCAGTCAAATCTTTTTTGTCAACAATACGCATGCTAACATTAGCATTAGCGCAACTTCTTGGAAGCTGTACAACAATCACTGATGAAATGGTACAAAAGCAACGCACTGCTAACACAATATAGATTACCGCTAGCTTCACGTCCAAATGTAGTCCGAGGCGGTCCCACTCCCACAGGTCTCTCCAGAGGATACGATGTAAGCTAGCTATGTTCACCTGGGCTTGATTTCTTCTTTGATCATTTGTTCGCTTTAGTTCCCTCTTCTCTTCCTCACTGATGCGTTGTTTGGGCTACTTATGGGCCACTTATGCTAACATGCTACTGTGTTTACCTGCGCTGTAGAGCTAGCCTCTAAGGCGGATAGTGCTGCGGTGCTATTACGAATAGGCTGGCCTGTTTATAACAGGAGAACGATCACACTACGTCTCTACTCAGCACTTTTTACGCCCTTAATTCATACACAGCTGAATCAATGAGCTCAAGTTTTCAAATAAATTACGGATTATAATACAACTTGTATGTAGTAATGCGCATTTTTATGAACTCACTAGAAAATAAATCGGGTATAGCTTCTTTAAGCTGGCTTGTCCAAATATTCTTTAGCATACCTCAGGCAGCACGGTTTGTGGCACAGAGAAAAGGCTTTTCCATCCCTTGAGCATTTCCTTCCATAAAGTGTGTGAATAGTTGAACCATGGACAGTGACACCGTCTGCAGCAGCTGATGTTGAAGGTCTTGGGAGCTGGTCCGTGGGTTGACTCTGACCGTTTTCACAATGCTGCACCTGTGTTAGGAAGTCAAGAGTCAGTTCCAAAAAAACTGTGCTAAAGGTCTTGAAATTAAATAAAATAATGTAAAGGGTGCCTATAATTATGCACATTCCTAATTTGGTTTAAATTATTCTTGCACACTTTCTGTAAATGATACAAACGGCGTTTCACTTCTCAAATATATTTTTACTGAAATTTCTCATTTGTATTTTGTGAGATGAATTAAGTTTTTATCTTATCTTATCTGACTTTTATTAATCAAACATCCAATGACATACAAAGATAATCTTTTTAAATGTATCAGTTCCCTAAGCTTAACCCTAATTGGATAGGTCCTGGTTTAGAGCTGGTTCACTCCTGGAACCTGATATACCTGATATATTGATCTTAATGATCAAAAGTGTCCCGTCCAAAGTATGGACCCTGTGGCCCCCACCTCTTTGACTCTGTTGAATCTGTTCATGCAGTTGGTCTTTTTTAGGAAACTCTCTGTCAGCCATTTTGGATGGAGAGGCACGTCTCACATTCCTGAACCGAGGAGAGGATTACGTCATGAACATGCCCTACGCTCACTGCAAAGGTCAGCCCAAACCCCAGCCCACACACATGACATCTGTGTATATATGATTCACAATTTATAAAATATTGTAATAGCGGTTAAATCACATAATGATCCGTCGACAGTAGCTCAGTTGGGATGTGTCCTTGGAAAGACACTTAAGCCCCGTCCCAATTCTCACACTTGCCCTTGATTTTGCGCGTGCCAGCGGGGGTTGTAGGGTGTCCCAATAGGAGGATCTTTGTTTACACCCGTGTCTGCATGCGCCCCTCGCACGGGCGGCAAGAAGACAGAGCGGCACATACTGAAGCATGGATGCAACGACTACTTTAGAAAGACTCAGTGGGTGAATAGCACTGTATATAAGCACTTTAACAATAGCACTGTATATAAGCACTTTAACAATAGCACTGTATATAAGCACTTTAACAATAGCACTGTATATAAGCACTTTAACAATAGCACTGTATATAAGCACTTTAACAATAGCACTGTATATAAGCGCTTTAACAATAGCACTGTATATAAGTGCTTTAACAATAGCACTGTATATAAGCGCTTTAACAATAGAACTGTATATAAGCACTTTAACAATAGCACTGTATATAAGCACTTTAACAATAGCACTGTATATAAGTGCTTTAACAATAGCACTGTATATAAGCGCTTTAACAATAGCACTGTATATAAGCACTTTAACAATAGCACTGTATATAAGCGCTTTAACAATAGCACTGTATATAAGCGCTTTAACAATAGCACTGTATATAAGCACTTTAACAATAGCACTGTATATAAGCACTTTAACAATAGCACTGTATATAAGCACTTTAACAATAGCACTGTATATAAGCGCTTTAACAATAGCACTGTATATAAGCGCTTTAACAATAGCACTGTATATAAGCACTTTAACAATAGCACTGTATATAAGCGCTTTAACAATAGCACTGTATATAAGCACTTTAACAATAGCACTGTATATAAGCACTTTAACAATAGCACTGTATATAAGCACTTTAACAATAGCACTGTATATAAGCACTTTAACAATAGCACTGTATATAAGCACTTTAACAATAGCACTGTATATAAGCGCTTTAACAATAGCACTGTATATAAGTGCTTTAACAATAGCACTGTATATAAGCGCTTTAACAATAGCACTGTATATAAGTGCTTTAACAATAGCACTGTATATAAGCACTTTAACAATAGCACTGTATATAAGCACTTTAACAATAGCACTGTATATAAGCACTTTAACAATAGCACTGTATATGAGCACTTTAACAATAGCACTGTATATAAGCGCTTTAACAATAGCACTGTATATAAGCACTTTAACACTAGCACTGTATATAAGCGCTTTAACAATAGCACTGTAAATAAGCACTTTAACAATAGCACTGTATATAAGCACTTTAACAATAGCACTGTATATGAGCACTTTAACAATAGCACTGTATATAAGCGCTTTAACAATAGCACTGTATATAAGCACTTTAACAATAGCACTGTATATAAGCACTTTAACAATAGCACTGTATATAAGCACTTTAACAATAGCACTGTATATAAGCGCTTTAACAATAGCACTGTATATAAGCACTTTAACAATAGCACTGTATATAAGCACTTTAACAATAGCACTGTATATAAGCCACTTTAACAATAGCACTGTATATAAGCACTTTAACAATAGCACTGTATATAAGCGCTTTAACAATAGCACTGTATATAAGCACTTTAACAATAGCACTGTATATAAGCACTTTAACAATAGCACTGTATATAAGCGCTTTAACAATAGCACTGTATATAAGCACTTTAACAATAGCACTGTATATAAGCACTTTAACAATAGCACTGTATATAAGCGCTTTAACAATAGCACTGTATATAAGCGCTTTAACAATAGCACTGTATATAAGCACTTTAACAATAGCACTGTATATAAGCACTTTAACAATAGCACTGTATATAAGCGCTTTAACAATAGCACTGTATATAAGCACTTTAACAATAGCACTGTATATAAGCACTTTAACAATAGCACTGTATATAAGCGCTTTAACAATAGCACTGTATATAAGCACTTTAACAATAGCACTGTATATAAGCACTTTAACAATAGCACTGTATATAAGCGCTTTAACAATAGCACTGTATATAAGCACTTTAACAATAGCACTGTATATAAGCGCTTTAACAATAGCACTGTATATAAGCGCTTTAACAATAGCACTGTATATAAGCACTTTAACAATAGCACTGTATATAAGCACTTTAACAATAGCACTGTATATAAGCGCTTTAACAATAGCACTGTATATAAGCACTTTAACAATAGCACTGTATATAAGCACTTTAACAATAGCACTGTATATAAGCACTTTAACAATAGCACTGTATATAAGCACTTTAACAATAGCACTGTATATAAGCACTTTAACAATAGCACTGTATATAAGCGCTTTAACAATAGCACTGTATATAAGTGCTTTAACAATAGCACTGTATATAAGCGCTTTAACAATAGAACTGTATATAAGTGCTTTAACAATAGCACTGTATATAAGCACTTTAACAATAGCACTGTATATAAGCACTTTAACAATAGCACTGTATATAAGCACTTTAACAATAGCACTGTATATAAGCGCTTTAACAATAGCACTGTATATAAGCACTTTAACAATAGCACTGTATATAAGCACTTTAACAATAGCACTGTATATAAGCACTTTAACAATAGCACTGTATATAAGCGCTTTAACAATAGCACTGTATATAAGCGCTTTAACAATAGCACTGTATATAAGCACTTTAACAATAGCACTGTATATAAGCACTTTAACAATAGCACTGTATATAAGCACTTTAACAATAGCACTGTATATAAGCACTTTAACAATAGCACTGTATATAAGCACTTTAACAATAGCACTGTATATAAGCACTTTAACAATAGCACTGTATATAAGCGCTTTAACAATAGCACTGTATATAAGCACTTTAACAATAGCACTGTATATAAGCACTTTAACAATAGCACTGTATATAAGCGCTTTAACAATAGCACTGTATATAAGCACTTTAACAATAGCACTGTATATAAGCGCTTTAACAATAGCACTGTATATAAGCGCTTTAACAATAGCACTGTATATAAGCACTTTAACAATAGCACTGTATATAAGCGCTTTAACACTAGCACTGTATATAAGCACTTTAACAATAGCACTGTATATAAGCGCTTTAACGCAAGAAGATCAGAGGAGATATGTAGACAAGCTAAAAATAAGTATATGAGACCGAACTGAATAAATTCAAAGCCCAGATGAGACCTGGGATGACGAGAAAAACATTGGTCAGACTCACCTCTGTCTTGGCACAGATCGGCTGGGACTGGGACCCTTCACCCATCCTGGCCATGTTCGTCAATATGCATCGCTTTTCCAGCTGGACAAGGCTGTGCTTTTTGAGGAGCTACTAATCTTTTTTTACTTTTTATTTTGTGAATATTACATATACCAAAGTTTGTCCAAAAGAAAGAGTATTGTAACAGCAAAATAGTGTGAACAAATTACACCAAAAAATGCTGCGTTGATCTTAAAAGATTAAGAAAATACAATACACAGGGTGACCTGGCATGACAGTCTATGCCCGTGACACAAAATAAATAATATTTTAACACACATTTATAGCACACAGTATAGCAAACGCTACACTTCCACTTCCATACTTCTGTGAACGCAAAGCGGGGGACGTGGTCAAGGGGGCAGGGGGTCATGTCCTGCGGGGGACGTGACAGACATGGAAGAAGCCGCTGGAAATAACACAACGCTAATCGTGTTCTCTGCCACACCGGCAGCGATGATAATAATGATGACAAAGCCAATTCCTGAAATAGAGTATCATAAATAAAGAGCCTGTCGTTTATCGTGGAGAAAATCTGACATGTTCTGAGCCTGTTCACTTCATCTCTTTGTTTCTATATAATGAATCCTGTAGCCTCATTTCCAAAAAGACATGCCCTCAGGTTCTGTCATGGGGCGTTAAGAGCGGATCATTCGTTGCAGCGACTTTAAATGCAAAGTCAATGATGACGTCCGTGTTACGGCCCTGGGCCTGTAGATTGCTCCCTGTTTGGATTTTGTGTGTTTTGTGTGTGTGTGGCCACCCTTTCTGTCTCGTGATCCATGGCCTGTGATTGGACAACCACTGGCCCTCCCACCTCCCAGAAGTCCGTGACTCGGATACTGATTGGAGGAGCAGCGGTGCACCTGGTCAATCCAGCTTAAGGCCACACTCCACACCTGGTACTCCACACCTGGCACCAGGTGCTGCCAGCCACAGACCTCATGGTGTCCTCATTTGTCCTCATGGTGTCTGTCATTGTCAAGAGTGGCCATGACTTAAAAGACAAAGTCCGTATCGCTTTGATTTGGTTTGTCTCTTTTTAGTTGTCACGTTGAGATTTTGTTGTTGTGACACTTGGGTTTATATGAGACAACAGTCAGTTTAGTGTTTAGTACTGTGTGTAAAGATTTAGTGTAGGTTTTGTTTTGGTAACGGTGAGTTGCCCCGTTATATCCTGTGTGGTGTCCTTTTGATGTATGTCTACTTATCATTTACATTCCTGTTATTAAATACTTTGCCATTTAATATATTTTTGTTGTTACCTCCCTTACCCTATCTAGCTGAACTTTTTCAGTCACGGTAACTCCAGATAACATGACTGGTAATCTATAAGTAGTGCCATCTTGATCATTGAAGGTCTTTGAAAATTATACGCTAATATAATAAAATAATATTCTATATACTAAAAAAATTATATACATTGGATCAGTGATTTTATTTTCATCTCAAATTTTGTTTTACACTTAAGATTTTTAACATAGACTGTTGACAGTATTCTCTTATCTCGAACTGCTCTCAAACTACAGCTTTTTGAAATCTTTATACGAAAATGGACATTTTCCAACATGGCCACCACCTTGATGATGTCATAATATGCAAATTAGATGACAAATCAACTTCCATCCCGAATTTGTCTTCAAACTATAGATATTTCTCATTTAAAGTATGCCTTCATCTGTGATTTATTAAAGAGGTTACATTTTCTGTTTTGGTTTTAAAGTTGGGTACCCCAGAGTCAAAGCAATATTTCAGCAGTTTTTTTGTTTGCAAATTACAGTCTTTGGGATTTTTGAAGGGTACCCTAACTTTGGGATTGTGATGCGATTGTTCTTGCTGTGAGTGTAATGGCAGGTGCTCTCACAGGCATTCTGTACGGCACCATGACGCTGGAGCTGGGGGGCCAGATTACCATCACGTGTGAGAAGACGGGCTACAGCGCTCAGCTGGAATTTAAACTCAAGGTAAAGAACACAGTTGCAACGAACCAGCTTTGTGCACTTACTTAAACACACCTCTTACTTCTTCCAAATCTGTCATTTCATCAACTGTCATCATCCAGAGACAGGTATTTGTCTTCTCCACTTCCAGCATAATAGTTTAGTGATGGAGTTTTGAAGTGAAGCCTGTTTTCGGCTCATATTATAATTAGTATGACGTACTTGGGTGGACTACGTGTGTGTCTCAGAAGCCCAATAATGACCCAGGAAGTACATAAAAAGATGTTGACATTTGTCCACACTGCATTTTTGAACAAAACAACAGCAAAACAAAATTTCCAAAAAAGTCAAGTTAACTGTTTTTTCACCGCCTGTTTATGTCAAGTGTTAATACTGGGCATTATAATGGGCATGAAGCTGAATCCTCTATTCGTGCCATAGGGGGATATTTCAGATATTATATGATATATCAAATTCTTCAAAATGTGAACAAACAAATGTAATGTATAAAATAGCCTAACCTTGATGCAAACAAACATTTTCCCAAACACTGACCCATTCGCCTTTAGTTGAGAAACCAAACTTGCAAAAATGTATTGGACTTGCCATTGTCTGTCAAACTTTCAATTTGTTTTCTTGTTTGTTGGATTTAATCACAGCAAATATGTAAGTGAAAAACGTTTTATTTTTAATCAATTACATACAGTATATGTCATAAAAACACACAATGATTATTCCCTATATTTTCACCTTTACCATTTTTATTTTGGAAATCAGCTATTCCCCCTTGTTATGACATCAGCCAATCCATCCTGCCTTGTATCAAGGTCCAGGCTGATGGTCCAGGCTGATGGTCCAGGCTGATGGTCCAGGCTGACGGTCCAGGCTGACGGTCCGGGCTGACGGTCCAGGCTGACGGTCCGGGCTGATGGTCCGGGCTGACGGTCCGGGCTGACGGTCCAGGCTGACGGTCCGGGCTGACGGTCCAGGCTGATGGTCCAGGCTGACGGTCCGGGCTGATGGTCCGGGCTGATGGTCCGGGCTGACGGTCCGGGCTGATGGTCCAGGCTGACGGTCCGGGCTGATGGTGGGGGCTGATGGTCCGGGCTGATGGTCCGGGCTGATGGTGGGGGCTGATGGTCCAGGCTGACGGTCCAGGCTGATGGTCCAGGCTGACGGTCCGGGCTGACGGTCCGGGCTGACGGTCCGGGCTGACGGTCCGGGCTGACGGTCCGGGCTGACGGTCCAGGCTGACGGTCCAGGCTGACGGTCCGGGCTGACGGTCCGGGCTGACGGTCCGGGCTGACGGTCCAGGCTGACGGTCCAGGCTGACGGTCCAGGCTGACGGGCTGACGGTCCGGGCTGACGGTCCAGGTTGACGGTCCGGGCTGACGGTCCGGGCTGACGGTCCAGGCTGACGGTCCAGGCTGATGGTCCAGGCTGATGGTCCAGGCTGATGGTCCAGGCTGACGGTCCAGGCTGACGGTCCGGGCTGATGGTCCGGGCTGACGGTCCGGGCTGACGGTCCAGGCTGATGGTCCAGGCTGATGGTCCGGGCTGACGGTCCGGGCTGATGGTCCGGGCTGACGGTCCAGGCTGATGGTCCGGGCTGACGGTCCTGGCTGACGGTCCAGGCTGACGGTCCGGGCTGATGGTCCGGGCTGATGGTCCGGGCTGATGGTCCAGGTTGACGGTCCAGGTTGACGGTCCAGGCTGATGGTCCGGGCTGACGGTCCAGGCTGACGGTCCAGGCTGACGGTCCGGGCTGATGGTCCAGGCTGATGGTCCAGGCTGATGGTCCGGGCTGACGGTCCGGGCTGATGGTCCGGGCTGACGGTCCAGGCTGATGGTCCGGGCTGATGGTCCAGGCTGACGGTCCAGGCTGACGGTCCGGGCTGACGGTCCAGGCTGATGGTCCAGGCTGATGGTCCAGGCTGATGGTCCAGGCTGATGGTCCAGGCTGACGGTCCGGGCTGATGGTCCGGGCTGATGGTCCAGGCTGACGGTCCGGGCTGACGGTCCGGGCTGATGGTCCGGGCTGACGGTCCGGGCTGACGGTCCAGGCTGACGGTCCAGGCTGATGGTCCGGGCTGATGGTCCAGGCTGACGGTCCAGGTTGACGGTCCAGGTTGATGGTCCAGGCTGATGGTCCGGGCTGATGGTCCAGGCTGATGGTCCAGGCTGATGGTCCGGGCTGACGGTCCGGGCTGATGGTCCAGGCTGACGGTCCAGGTTGACGGTCCGGGCTGATGGTCCAGGCTGATGGTCCAGGTTGACGGTCCGGGCTGATGGTCCGGGCTGATGGTCCAGGTTGACGGTCCGGGCTGATGGTCCAGGCTGATGGTCCGGGCTGATGGTCCAGGCTGATGGTCCGGGCTGATGGTCCGGGCTGATGGTCCGGGCTGACGGTCCGGGCTGATGGTCCAGGCTGATGGTCCGGGCTGATGGTCCAGGCTGATGGTCCGGGCTTGATGGTCCAGGTTGACGGTCCGGGCTGATGGTCCGGGCTGACGGTCCTGGCTGACGGTCCGGGCTGATGGTCCAGGCTGATGGTCCGGGCTGATGGTCCAGGCTGATGGTCCGGGCTGATGGTCCGGGCTGACGGTCCGGGCTGACGGTCCGGGCTGATGGTCCAGGCTGATGGTCCGGGCTGTTGGTCCGGGCTGATGGTCCGGGCTGATGGTCCGGGCTGATGGTCCGGGCTGATGGTCCGGGCTGACGGTCCGGGCTGATGGTCCGGGCTGACGGTCCGGGCTGATGGTCCAGGCTGATGGTCCAGGCTGATGGTCCAGGCTGATGGTCCGGGTGATGGTCCGGGCTGACGGTCCGGGCTGATGGTCCGGGCTGATGGTCCAGGCTGATGGTCCGGGCTGATGGTCCAGGCTGATGGTCCAGGCTGATGGTCCAGGCTGATGGTCCGGGCTGATGGTCCAGGCTGATGGTCCGGGCTGATGGTCCGGGACGGGGCGACAAAACGCTACAGAACTGCCCCTCCCCCCTGCACTGCTTATGACAGTGCCAAAAAGTATTCTCTGCATCGCCGTGAGCAGCGCATCGCCGTGAGCAGCGCATCAAATGAGCGTATGTTTAGCTTCACAATCTGCTTCTTGGAGTCTAGGCAAGACTGATGGGCAATTATTGCCTTTGACAAAGTAGGTGCATTGAATAGTGTATTTAAATGTTAAAATAAAGCTTGTGTTCATAGACATACTTGACAGTGTATTGAAAGGGCAGTCGGCAAGCTGAGGATGGCAGGCTGGTTGTGTCTCAACATGAAGGACCCGCAGCTTGAGAAGGAAACCGGCCCGCGCATTACAAGAAAACAATACTCAGTCAATCACTTACAATACAATACAATACAATACAATACAATACAATACAATACATGTATTTGTGTGTACATGTATTGTATAACGCTGTGTATAACGCTGTATCTACCCCTGCAGGAACGTGAGTGCCCTGCGGTCGCGGACTGCCCCTCGCTCGGACTCTAGCGCCTCCTTCCTCCAACAGAGGGACTATGTGGTTATCATGCTACTCATCCTTCTGCAACTCTTCATCAACTTCCTTTTCAAGTAGCTAAGAAAACTGTGGACAAGGGATCCAGACACCAACCATGCTGCAAACGCTTGAGCTGAGATTACCAAAGGCGAGCGCTTTGGACTTGTTTTACAATAGGGGCACTTACTTAAGTTAAAGCTGCACTAACTCACTTTGTGAAATGTTCAAATGTGAGCGCTGGCCTCGCTCTTTCTGCTCCCCCTTCCCCCACTCACGGAGCTATCGCCCCCCACTACCCCCTCCCACTCGGCCACACATGTGCTGTTTACGGAGCTCACATCTCACAATATGGATCGCACATTTGAACGTGGATGCCGTGACCATAGAATGATAGAACCCTGAAGCGCGGAGGAACGAGACTTTCTTTTGGATGGCTGTTTCACTGAGTAAGCAGTAACCGTTAATGAAGACACGGAATATTCAGGTTAGACTCCGCCGCTTGTTTACCTCAGCTGTCTGTGCTAACAAGAGACCTGTGGCTTTTCTCAAGAAGGTGGGGGCCAGTGGTCTGCTGTGATTGGTCACAATCTGGTCCTGAAACAAATTCTCTTCCTTGTTGCACGAAAACTCAATATAAAACAAAATGACACGCCAGCAGAAATCGGCGCTATTTATTCTTCAAAAGGACGTATATCAATGCACTGCATGGATATGGATTGAATTTTTGTAATTAATGCAAAAATAAAGTGAGGTAATGCAGCTTTAAGCATATTAACATTCAATTAAACATAAATAATCTCCTTTCTCATGTTTAATGGAGGGCTCATACATAATAAACATATAAACGTATGTAAATATCTAAAACCAGTCCAAAGTGCTCAAATGAAAAGGAATTTGTTAAAGTGAAGTCACTTCAGCTCCTTTACTTTATCAGCGTTAAAACAAAGACGTTTGATTTAATAAAAACGTCAAACAACTTTCCAAAAAGGGAGAAGAAAAACTATTCCTGGAGGATTTTATTTTCCCCCAGAGAGTCAAAACAAAGACTGCCTTTTCTGTGTTTTAAGGTGAAAATGTTGTTGATTTTTAATTTTATGTTTTACAAGTTGAGTTACATTTCAATCCAACGGAACTCTAGCATTTCTCATTATTACTTGGAATTGGCGGCGGAGGCAACGGATCGGCAGAACCGTGGACCAGTGTCTTTGACTATGGCACGAAGTGTATAAAAATATACAGTGCTATTAAAAAAACATTCCACAGTTGTGTACAGGTACCATGTAGCAGTGTATTAGCCATGTCATTTTGTTTACTGATTCAAACTTAGTAACCACATCAGCACCTCATTAGTCGTGCTTTACTGTTGTTATTGACTCAATATTTAAATTAGTGAAGAATCATTGGAAGTGAGGGGGGATTACAAAACACAGGTGAAAACCAAATTTTAAGGTGGAAGAAAATTCTTTATTGGTTTCCTGGTTGCGAAGGCAGCAGTCTAAGCAGAGATGCCCGACTTCCCAATCCAAACACACCTCTAGCTCATCCGTGGGAATCCCGAGGGATTTCTCAGGCCAGCTGAGAGTTGTAGTCTTTCCAACATTTTCTGGGGTCTTCCCCTGCTCTCCTCCTGGCAGGGTTAGGGTGTCGAGGAGGCATTTGAAACAGATGCCCGAGCCAACTCAACTGGTTCATCTCGACATGGAGAAGCAGCGGCTCTACTACAAGCTCTTCATCCTGTCTCTAAGGCCGCTTTTCCACAGTAACGGTACGGCACGGCACGGCCGAGTTCGGGGGCTTTTCCATTAAAAATAGTACCTCTTCAGTGTGGGAGGGATTCTCAGACCACGTCATTTACACGCAACGCGTAACTAGTAACATTCGTGCGGTGCATGGATTTATTAATATTGGTGATAGCTGCTATTACCTCCTAGGGCAGTGGTTCCCAAAGTGGGGGTCCCGACCCCCCGGGGGGTCATGAGAACCCCTGCAAATAATACCTGCTTTAAAATGAAACAAGGTTAATATCCACAACAGAAAAACCGGGAGGGGCAGAAAAGTCACATGTGTCAGAGGTCAGGCTGATGGTGCGGAGACTGCGCAGAGAGAGGGCAGCGGAGAAAGAGACCCGGCTTTTCGGAGTCAGTGGTAAAGACGTCCGCACATTAAAAGCGGGTGGTCGCTTTATGCTGCTCCTTACGGCAACGTTGGAAAGAGAAGCCGCGGCGATGAACCACCACAATGCACTTTTTACTGAAAGTAACAGCAGAAAGCCGCCACCCGCTTTTAATGTGCGGACCTCTTTACCACCGACTCCAAAAAGCCGGGCCTCTTTACCGCTGTTGGAGAACAGTGAGGGCGAGCCGCAAGAAATGCCCTCCACCTCTGCAAAGGTGGGAGCCCACCAAGCCCATCACTTGCGTCACTACGCAAGTAAAAATACTCGCGAGTGCAGCTCGGTAGTAGCGCGAGTCTCTATAAAGCGTTACCCCGGGCTGTACAGGTGGGGGATTGCGGGGGAGCAGCGCATTTATCATGGGGGTCGCGGTCTAAAAACTTTGGGAACCCCTGTCCTAGGGGACTCTGCTCACCCTCTGCAGAACTGGCTCCTAAAACCTCTTCAGGACACCGAACGAGTGACAGACAAACAGCAAGTATTTAATAGAAAAATCAGCACAGCACGAGTGGTTGTTAAAAATGCTTTCCGCAGTCTTAAAGGAAAGACTCGGACACTGAACATGTGAAGTGGTGCTGACTTGCTGTGCTCTGCACAATTTGTGTGAAGACCACGGAGAGACCATGTGACACCTGTAGCAACAGCAGCCTTTAGCAGTGGAGCAGAGGAGGGTCTGATGCGTAACTTTGTCATATGCCTAAACATTTATTTTGCCCGTGTGTGTTCTGACCAAAAATAAAACGTTTTTGTATTTAGCAAATGTCTCCAACCTGGTTCATAAATTGACCAAGGTTATACAGATTTACTGACAAATATAATGTATGTAATGTAAATAGAAGTAAGAGTATATGGTAGGAAATTGTGACTTTTGCTTTTGAGCCCCTTTTCAGACAAAATGAATAAAACAAAGTCGTGATACAATCACATCCATCCATCCATCCATTTTCTACCCTTTAATCCATTTCTGGGTCAGGGGGGTGGCAGTCAGAGATGCCACCCAAGTCTCATAGCACCAGCCCCTCACTGACCCTCTGCAGGTGGTGAGTCCACAGGAGGACGGCTGCTCTCTGAGTGTGAGCATAGCCTTGATCTTTCAGTGGGGGCTTTGGGCAAAGTGGGGTTAAGTGTCTTGCCCAAGGACACAACGACAGCAGTCATCAGTGGGAGTCGGTTGAGAAGGTGTAGAGGTGGGAATTGAACCCACAACCTTCTGGCCTGAAGGCCAATGCTCTACCAACTGAGATACTGTCGCCCTGATACGATCACAGATTTATTAAAAACAAAAGTAAAGTGCAAAACCAACAGTTTACAAAGTCCAAAGTACGTATGTCTCTGAGACCAGGTCCAGATGAGGGGAAAGTTAAGTACTCCAGTCACTCATTGCTTGTTGGTGATCTCCTCACTTGTGGGAAGGGGTTAGTACAAGCACAAAACAGAATGGCAACACGTGAATACTGCAGATAATACGAGATAAAGCACAGTAGCACAGGGAGGACGTTAGCTTAACTTGATAAAGATAGCTATATGTAGCTCGCTCACTGTGTACAACAGACAATCAAACATGTACACAAGTAAATACATTTCAGTGAGAGCTTTGGGCCAACTCGATATGTAGCTAACAGTTATTTCCAGGATTACCACAGACCAGTCACAAATCCAGATCTGGGTGATCTCCCTGAAAACCTCGTGAAACCTCCGTGTTGAGCCTCGAGCTGCCTTTGAATTCTTTCTTTCGGCCTGAAGAGAGTAACGTGTGGACCTCGTCCACCGACCAGGACCAGGACTTTTGGGGCTTTCTGCGCGATTTCATTTCTCTGGAGTGAGGAGGACGTAATGTAGCCGAAGCAGAGCCGAGCAGAGCAGCCGCTTTTAAAGATGGCAGGGTTTTTTTTTTTACCAAAGGGTCAGATGTCACTTCCAGTGACAACACTCATTGACCAATCAGTGTAAGGCAGTCGGCCGACGTCACGTCATGATGAGGTAGTACAAAAAAAGTATGCAAACCCCGATCACAACACTAGTAGAAATGCAAAATAACCGTGCCGTGCCGTACCGTACCGTTACTGTGGAAAAGCGGCATAAGGGAGCACCCAGCCACTCTGCGGAGGAAGCTTATTTCAACAGCTTGTATCCGCAATCTCATCCTTTCGGTCATTACCCAAAGCTAATGACCATAGATGAGCAGAGGACCCCGGCCCCCATCCTGGATCCGAGATTCGACCATCGGTCAGAGTCTCCACTCCAGTACCTTGGAATAAACCTTGCCGGGAAGGCTGAGGAGTGTGCATTTTTGACTGCCAACAACCTTGGTGACTTCAGCAATGGAGATGAAAATATATATGGCCTAAGATCGTCAACCGCTGCCTCCGAGACAGAGAATGTGACTGGGGCGATTTCT